CTGAAGAATTGGTGCTTTTGAACTGTGGTATTGGAGAAGACTCTTGAGAGTCCCTTGGACTGCAAGGAGATCCAACCAGTCTATCCCAAAGGAAATCAGTCCTGAATATTCATTGGAAGGACCAATGTTGAAGCTGAAACTCCAATACTTTGGCCACTGTTATGGTCTTCTTGACAGAATGGGACCTGGGAACAGGAGTCAACGAAAAGAAGGTGAAGAAAAGGACACAGGGGACCCAGGTCTCTAGTGGAATAAGGGTACTTTATTCAAGGCAATGTGTGCTTATATATTGTTATACAAGGAAGCTTTAGGCAGAAAAATAAAGCTGAGTAAAAAACACCAAAACCAGACACATAACAACAGTAACTAGGGGAATAACAATCGTCACAGGGCCAGTGACAATCCATGTATTGGAAATAGGAACATGACTAAGTAGTTTTACAGAAAAGTAAAAGGTTACTGAAAGGAATCCATGTATGTGTTCTGCCTCATGACCTCAGTCCTGAGAACTGTGTGCAGCTCTGCTTGTTCCTGTTTTCCAGGAACTGATAAGGAATAAAGGGCCCTTGAGAAACAGAAAACAACATATAGGATTCCTTAAAATTAAACGTTCTCTGACAAGTCCCCCTTTTTTATCATTTTTGTGAAAAAGGCTCTGACCAATTGAGTTTGTTTGGTTTGATCAATTTTTGTTGAAAGGCATCAGTATACAGCAAATATAATTACCAGGACAATTACCAATATTACAGCACCAGACCCAATACTATGAGTAATATTTTGGAACCTTTCTCGAGGGTCTAGCCCAGATAATTGATCAGCTAGCTGTTCAGCTAAAGTTTCCAGATTATTAGAAGAGGGCAGACTTGTGGAGAAGGTTTCAAAGATTTCTTTTTGTAGTAACTGTACATTTAGGGAAGCATTATCGTGTATGTCTTGCAAATGAAATTTGATTTTTTCCCTGTTGTAGGCACTATAGTTGAATTGAACAGGGGTAATACAAAATTGAGTAGAATTCCAATCACATTTTAGTACTATTTGTTTTTGTAAATCTGTTAATTGATCTCCGACCCATTTGATGGCTGTTTTTAGTTTCTGTATTTCACCTTGAACTTCCTCATCTATCTGAGCCTGAGTGGTCCACATAGTATGAGCATCTTTGATCTAATTTTGAATAAAATTATGTGTTTGAACTGAGGTTTGTAAAGCAATGTCTGTGACAGCAGCAGTGGTGCAAATGACTATTAATCCCAAAATGCCAAGAATTAACCATCCAATGAATCATTTAGATCACCAGAGTAATTTAGTGTGTAGCCATGCGACCCTCTTTCCAGGGATTCATTTTTCAAAGAAACAGAGGAATCAAGACAAGTATACAATTTGTAATCTATACAAGTCACAAAAGGTAGAGTCTTATTAAATTGTAAGTTCTCTATAGCTGTAACAAAAGGAAGAGGAACAAAAGCTTGTATAAAATGTGAATGACTATAATGAAAGGAATAGTTACTATGAGTTGACGAGCAAGCCCAGCAGAGCCATACCAGTCACAGTGATGCCCGTCAGGGACCAGCGGTTGAAGTGCTCTTGGCCCTCTGGCCTCTCAGTTGCTGTATTGTTTCCGTAGAGTTCCACAAAAGTGTCCCAGCCACCGTTATCCTGAATCCAAGGCTCTAGGTGGTCATTTAGGTAAGTGGCCATCCAAGTTGTGATTTGACTCACCAATAGCCGCATCTCCTTGTCTATGCTTTCCATGCATAGTGCCCCACTGAAGGAAAAAAAGGCCACAATGGTCTTTTGAAGCTTTTGTTGTGAAGGAGAATGAGTAGAAAGTTTTTTCTTACAAATGTGAGTGTGTCTTAAAGGCTTATCATTGTCATTAAAAAAAAGTATTGTCAGCTTTAGTGTCAAAAAAGGCCTCAGAAAAGTCATTGTCAGAGTCATTTTGTCCTTGAGTTAAGAGGACTTTTGGTTTGGTGTCCATTGCAAGAGGAGGAGAAGCACTTGGGGCAGCCAGAGCAGGGATGGTGGGATAATTTTGAAATATTTTATGTTATTTTAATTGGGCCTTTTGTAAAGTTTTATCATCTAATTCATATTTATGTAACAAGTGTTCTGCCTATTGTCAAATATCAGGGAGGCTAGAATTTCCTTGAAAAGGCAAAATCACAGCTTTAATGAGGGCCCATAAGAGCCAGAAATCTATTGGAATATTTTTTCCCCATCTTCTCTCTAACCCAGTTCCAAATATTTAAATCAAAATTGCTGTCATCAGGGAACCAGGGATTATGTTCAATTACCGTTTGGAGACAAGCCTCTATTCGCTGACATGAAACTGAAAGTCCTTGAACTTTCAATAAATAATGAAGCAATGTAGAAAAGTGGTGGGGCTTTCCAGCCATTTGTCCCATAACCAAACACTTACTGACCTCAGTAGGTCCACAGTCACTCCATCCGCTTGCCAAGGGCGTACTCTCAGTCCCTCTTTAGGCGCCACTTGTTATGGTCTTGACAGACCAGGACCTGGGAACAGGAGTCAATGAAAAGAAGGCGAAGTGAAGAAGGACGCAGGGGACCCAAGTCTCTAGTGAAACAAGGGTACTTTATTCATGGCAGCGTGTGCTTATATATTGTTATACAAGGAAGCTTTAGGCAGAAAAATAAAGTTGAGTAAAAAACACTGAAACCAGATGCATAACAACAGGAACTAAGGGAATAACAATAGTCATACGGCCATAACAACAGTAACTAGGGGAATAACAATCATCACAGGGCCAGAAGACAGTCCATGTGTTGGAAATAGGAATATTACTAAATAGTTCTACAGAAAAGTAAAAGGTTACTGAAAGGAATCCATGTATGCATTCTGCCTCATGACCTCAGTCCTGAGAACTGTGTGCAGCTCTGCTCGTTCCTGTTTTCCAGGAACTGATAAGGAACAGAGGGCCCTTGAGAAACAGAAAACAACATCTAGGATTCCTTAAAATTAAATATTCCCTAACAGGCCACCTGATGCAAAGAGCTGACTCATTTGAAAAGACCCTGATGCTGGGAAAGGTTGAAAGCGGGAAGAGAAGAGGATAACAGAGGATGAGATGGTTGGATGGCATCACTGACTCAATGGACATGAGTTTGAGTAAACTCCAGGAGTTGGTGATGGACAAGGAGGCCTGGCATGCTGCAGTTCATGGGGTCGCAAAGAGTTGGACATGATTGAGCAACTGAACTGAACTGAACTGAACCTAAATATCCAACAATAGGTTAATAGCTAATGCATAATGAAACATTCATACCATGGAGTACTACATAACCACTAGATTGAATGAGCTAGGTGTATATTCTGTTATAAAAAAAATTTGCACATACATTGTCAATATTTTTTAAACAATTTCCAAAATAGCCTATATAGTACAATCCCATTAAAAATGGGCTTATTGTATTTTTATAGTAATAGAAATAAATATATATTTCTTTCTTATTGGCTGGAGTTTTATATAAAATAATTACCATAAACACACACATTCATATATATGTGTGTGTATATATATACATATATATGTACCATATAACACGCTAGTCAATAGAAAAGGAATATTTACCAAAAGAGAGAGATCAAGCTATCAGATCAGGATAATGCTGTACTCATATTCCCTCATGAACAATCAAAACCACTACTACATATAGAACTACTCTTGCTGAAATTGACCTGAGAACTAGCAGAACAATTCTTCTACAACCAGGGTTATAAATAAAGACCCACATGTAATCTGGTAGGAAGGGAGCAGAAGCAATCTGGTCAGGACCTGCACCCCTAGCAGGGGACAGAGAGGAGAGGATATACCAGACTCAGAGATCCACCCTGGGGGAATAAGGGGTTTGAGCTACATGTTAGCAGAGAAAGCAACGGCATCCCACTCCAGTACTCTTGCCTGGAAAATCCCATGGACGGAGGAGCCTGGTAGGCTGCAGACCATGGGGTCACTAAGAGTCAGAAGCAACTGAGCAACTTCATTTTCACTTTTCACTTTCATGTGTTGGAGAAGGAAATGGCAACCCACTCCAGTGTTCTTGCCTGGAGAATCCCAGTGACAGGGGAGCCTGGCGGGCTGCCGTCTATGGGGTCGCACAGAGTCGGACACAACTGAAGTGACTTAGCAGCAGCAGTTACATGTTAGACATGCCAACCCTGGGGTCTGACCCCATGAAGGTGAAGCCCCTTAGCTGGTCTAAAACCACTGGAGCTTATCAGAGGGCTGTAAGAAACTGAGACTCCACTCTTAAAGAGCATGCCTACAGACTTGCTTATTCACAATCACAGTGCTGAGGTAGCAGATTGAAAATTGCCTGGGGCTCTCCCCATGACAAGGCCACCCCAGAGCACTCTCCTCACCCACACTGGGCTCCTGCTGCAGTCCCTCTTGCTCCAACACTGCTCCCCACTAAGAGGGAGACGGCCATACACAACAAAAGTGCGCAAACTTGGAGGAAATGGAGCCAACTTGCACACCAGCCCTGCCTCTAATCAGCATGGAGACAGCCATTGCCAGCACGTGCCTTCTGATCACATGCAACTGAAAGGGGATGAGGCTAACTCCAGAGCAGAGACGACCATCACCATAGCACGCATCCCTGGGTACACTTGGGGTAGGATAAGTCTAGCTCAGTGTTGACACCAACCCCTCCAGCTCACACAGAGAAACTAACCAGGGCTCTCACACCAAAAAGAAAAGTGAAATCAACACAGAAGTGCACCCCAAGTTCTCAGGCTCAGACCACATCCCAAACCAAAGACTACCATCACATCTGAGAGAAACCCAGCTCCTTCAAAACTCCTACCCCAGCCCCGTGGGCCCTGCCCCAAGCCCTGATGCGGCAGTGACAGCCACCAATCATGGAAAAACTCCAACCTTCACCTGGCTCCAACCACTCCATCTCCAGTACTACTTCCCACCAAAGTGGTGGCTGGTAGCACATCCTGGGGAAGACGTGATTCCTGCTTACTTCAGTTCCAGTTCTCTGACCAAAGCTACTGGGCACAGATGGACTACATAGGGATGTTCCCATATAAGCACATGCCTTCAAGACCAAGTAAGGTAACCGAGTCACCTAATTTCATAGAAATAAAGTTAACAAAATAAGAAGACAGAGGAATATGTTTAAAATGAAAGAAAATGAAAAAAGCCCTGAAAAAAATCCTGATGAAACAGAAATAATTTACAACAACAACAACAACAAAGATCTCAAAGTAATAATAAGATGAACTGGAGAAAAGAACAGATGAACACAGTGAGAATGTGAACAAAGAACTAGAAAAAAAAATTTTTTTTAAAGAACTAGTCAGAGCTAAAGAATGCAATAACTGAAATGAAAAATATAACTAGAGGGAATTAACAGCAGATTAGGTGACAGAGAAGAACACATAAACAATCTGAAAGACAAAATAAAGAAATCACCCAATCAGAGCAGCAAGAAGAAAAACACATTTTCAAAAATGAAGATAGTTTAAGGGACCTCTGAGAATATATCAAGCATACTAAGAGTTACACCATAGGAGCTCCAGAAAAAAAGAAGAGAGAGAGAAATGGTTTTAAAAGGTATTTGATGAAATTATGGCTTAAAACTTCCTAAACCTGAAGAAGGAAACAGAAATCCAGGTCCAGTAAGCACAGAGAGTCCCACACAAATGAACAAAAAGAGAAGCACACCAAGACATACCATAATTGAAATGGCAAAACTAAACATTAAAAAAAGAAGTACAAAGGCAGCAAAAGGAAAAAGAAAAGAGTTATATATAAGGGAGCCCCAAAGGCTATCAGCTAACTTTTTCAGGAGAATCTTTGCAGGACAGAAGAGGGTGGCATTATATAAGTGCTTAAAAGCAAAAGTAAACCTGAAACCTAAGATGCTCTATCCAGCAAGGTCGTCATTCAGAATTAAAGAGGAGATAAAGAACTTCTCAAAGAAGCAAAAACTAAGAGAGTCCATCAATAGTAAACAAGTCTTACAAGAAATGTTAAGGGTTATTCTTTTTAAGAGGAAAGAAAAGGCTACAACAAGAAATAAGACATTATAGAAAAGGGAAAATCCTGCTGATAAAAACTGTGGATCAACCATTTAAATTAGCTAGTACAAAGGTTCAAAGACAAAAGCTGTCAAATCAACTATGACAGCAATAAACAATTAAGGGATAGACATGAAAATGTAAAATACAACATCAAAAACATAAAACAGTGGGGGGGGGGGACTGAAATGTAGAGCTTTTAGAATGTGTTTGAACTTAAATGACCACCAGTATTAAATAGAAATAGTTATAGATCAACATGTAAACACAAATCATAAAACCTACAATAGATATACAAAACTAGAAAGAAAGGAATACAAACGTAACATAAAGAAAAGCATTAAGTCATAAACAAGGGACTAAAAGAAGAAAAAAGAAAGGAGAAAAACTATTAACAATCAGAACACACATAGCAAAATGGCAACAAGAGCATACCTATCAATAATCACTTGAAGTGTCAGTGGACTAAATGCCTAATGAAAGGAAATAGGGTAGCTGACTAAATGAAAATCTAGAATTAATCTATACATCACATACAAGATACACACAGATAAAAAGTGAGGAAATGGAAAAAAATATTCCACCCAAATGGAAACAAAGAGAAAGCTGAGTAGCAATACTCATATCAAACAAAACAGATTTTAAAACAAAGTCTATAATAAAAGACAAAGGGCATTATATAAAGATAAAGAGAACAATATAAGAAGAGGATATAATGTTCATAAACATATGCACAAATATTAATAGACATGAAGGGAGAAATTAACAATAACACAATAAGAATAGGGGACTTTAACACCCTACTTATATCAAAGGACACATTATCTGAAAGAAAATCAAGTTTAAAAAAAACCACTGCCCTTAAAAGACATATTATACCAGTTAGACTTAGTAGATATCTATAGGACATTCCATCTAATACCAGCAGAATACATATTCATTTCAAATGCACATGGAATGTTTCAAAACAAGTCTTAATAAATTTAAGAGGACAGAAATTATTTAAAGCATCTTTTTGACAACAATGATGAGAAGTTAGAAATAAATTACAAGAAAAAAATGGGAATAAATAACATACTAATAAAAAACCAATGAAGTCAATAACAGTCAATAAAAAACTGATGGGTCAATGAAGAAATCAAAAAGAAATCAATAAATACCTTGAGACCAATTAGAATAAAGCCATAACCTTCAAAAAAATCTATGGGAGGCAGCAAAATTAACTCTAAGAGAGTTTATACCAATACAGGCTATCTCATGAAACAAGAAAAATTTCAAACAAACCATTTAACCTATCATCTAAAGGAATTAGTAAAAGAAGAACAAGAAAATACCAAAGTCAGCAGAAGGAAGGAAATAATAAAAATCAAAGAGGAAATAAAATAGAGACAAGAAAATTATATAGATCAATGAAGCCAAGAACTGGTTTTTTGAATAGATAAATAAAATTGATAAGCCATTA